ATTGTAACTGAAATATCATTACAGCTTGCTCACTGTTAGAGTTGGTAATCAAACGAAAAGGAAGGTAAAATCAACCTGCAACTATTTCAAATCACTCTAAAGATAGTATTCAAACCATATTATGTTGTATAACTAATATATTATTACAGCTCTCTAACTGTCATAGTTGGTAGACAAACGATCAGTAGGTTAAAATAAATCAACCTTCTTCGAAGGGTTGACAATGAGCTTGTGATCTCATTCCCATTGGTATTTGCAGGGCGACAGCGTCCACATGAGATTTTGTTGCTGGCGTCTTATTTTGTTCTTTGTGTTGTGGCTTTATATTATTTTGATATTATCGTTTTACGTTATACCTATTCTGCAATGAAGTGATTCTGGTAAGTTGATTATGTAATCGCTTTATTCAATATCGAGTAGTAATTTAGTACTAAATTTGGTAATGATTTAACACACTGTATAAAATTATTGCTTAAGTTCGTCTCTTTCTCTCAGGACTCTCTTCAATTTTTGGACAGAAGAAGTGGATATATCCCCAGGGAGGTTGTATATGACAAGTACCAGAACCATACAAGAAGATTGAGAAAGTTTTGAAATCTCTCGTCAAGGAGTACCACTGATGTAGTCTACTCAATCAATAATCATGATGAGGAAAATTCAACAGATGATCGCAATTATTTGATGATGATTATTATTCATTAATTCAATCAATTCAATATTAAATTCATATTTCGATTCTATAGGTACATTTCTTGCAGGAAGAAGATGATGAACTGTGGTAGCAATTGAATAACGTCCATTGAGTACGGAGACGAGAAATTACAAATGAAGAGAATTATACTGTAGATATTTTGTGAAGTTGACCACCATGTAATGAATAAACTTGATGTTTATTCGAATTCTGTACTTGAAAAATAGTCAATATAATATACCTTTATCTACTATGCACTTCGTTTGTGAACCAAATATTATGGCCATCTATACAAAATATAAGTGAACTGACAAAAATCATAGTTAACATATCACTCATTTTGTTGTGAGATTAAAATCTGGTTGATAACCAATTCTCTTGATCAAAACAACAATTACATTCGTATGGTGACTAAACATTTTCAACTATTGTTTGCTGGTTGATTCGATTATTAAACCAAATATACTCATTTTCATATGCTCTTTTTGGTTGATTTAACCCATAAATTTTTTTGAGTGATATGTGATATATATTCGGGAAACAAGTACTCACATTTTCGTGGGAAAAAAGTAATTTATTAAAAGTAACATTTTATAACCTGTCAACAGAGATGAAATTTCAAACTTTTTTCCCGTCACAAAACAAAATTCTTTCAATGCAGCTGATGCTTGTTTTGATTTCATATTATGGTTTGAAATAATAAAATGACGACGTGAGTGCTGGAGTGCAGCCTTGATGACTGGTTATGATTTCCATAATGTCACAATAATTAGTCGTATTTCTATAATAATCTCGATAATAATAATGAAAATGTTTGTAATACGGCGGAAATATATTGGTTTAGAAACTTTACATCTGTGATTCTTACAGGAAACGTCATTCGTCATTGAAGACAGTATCGCTTGCAGGTAAAGTGTAACTTCAACTGCAAATAAAAAATGATATGTATGTTCGACTCCAAATGATGTTCTTGAATTTTATTTGGAGATTGGTGCATTAAAAATAATGGTATTAAAACCACTAAAAATGTCGTACCGTAAATTTATATGATATAATATGTCAAAATCAAATCATCTGCGGCAAATCAATTCGTTTATTCATATATAATCAATTCTGGAACGAAATTAGTGAATATAGGTGTTCCGCAAGGGTCTATACTGGGGCCAATTTTATTTCTGCTGTACACCATTGATCTTGAGGTGTACCTAACAGAGTCCTATGTAACGATGTATGCAGATGACACTTCTTTGATACTATCGGATAAAGACGAAATCAAAACACATCAAAAAAGTGAACAAGTTTTGAAATCTATATATGAATGGTGTAGCTTAAATTATTTATATTTGAATGCCTCTAAAACACAAATCGTGAAATTCCACAACTGGCAAAAAACATGTCTACCATTAACCGTCCACATCAACGATGTATCAATAAACAATACTAATGAAACAAAATTCCTGGGCCTGATCATTGATGAAAATATCAAGTGGAAAAATCATTGCGTATACTTAAGCAAGAGACTGAACTCTTTGTGTTATTTGTTCAGAAATCTCAAACAAGTCTTAGAGGAGCCTCAACTGTTATCCTTGTACCACTCTCAGATAGCGTCAAGAATTAGATATGGTATATGTTTGTGGGGCAACTCAACTTCTATTCCTGATATTTTCATTTTGCAAAAAAGAATATTGACAGTAGTGGCAGGCGTTCCTTCAACCAACTATTGTAGAGAATTGTTTGTCAAATATAATGTTCTGACAATATTTTCTTCATATATTTATGGATTATGCAACTACATTTTTGAGAACAAAACTAAATTTCCTCTGAATAAAAACATTCATAACGCGAATACACGACAGAAAGAGAATTTTCATATTCCACATTATAAATACAGGGTATCACAAAACTCACCTGCATATATGGGTTTGATGATTTACAACAAATTGCCACAAGAAATAAAGAATACTAATGAAAGCAGGAAGTTTATCACAGCCCTTAAAAAATTCCTTATTGAAAATTGCTTTTATTCATTGGATGCATATCTCAAGATGTGATTTAATAAATATATAGAACCCTATCATGTATAGTACTAATTAGTATTGTTCTATTATTGACCATCCATATACATTTACATTCATGTTATGTTATGTTTATGTAATTATATTGTGCCCTTGTCCTCTTATACTCTTTTTTGTTTTTGTTGTTACTTATGAATACAATACTGTGACGTATCCTATATCATATGAGTGATCTCGAAAAGGCCAATAAAGATCATTATTATTATTATTATGTTTATTTCAGTATGCTATCCTTCTCGAGTCATTAGCTCTGCATTTAATGACTCCCCAGTTGTGATAAATAATGCCTTCGAATCTGCATTATCTGCTACATGGTTTGCATTTTCCTGGAAAATGGGTCGCAAAAAGACGTATATTTTCGTCTGGCAAAAAGTATCGGGCTGTTTCAGATGAGAAGGGTCGATTTGCAGTAAATCGAAGAGAAACTGGCATGGAACGGAGCCAGAAAGATACAGAAGCAATCCGTAGAAAAATGCTGTGTAGTGTGTGGCACTAACACCACCTGAAAATCTTTATAATACTAACATCGTCAACATGAAGAAACAAGAGAATTCTACATCGGTTTCTCGATGTTGGATTTTTATTCATGTTTATCACAGTTTGTTAACCGTAGCGACATCTCTTAGAAACGCCATGCGAGTGCGGTGAATCGTTCGTCTTAATTAGATATCTCAAAGTTGTTGTATCTATCCATTTGATATCATGAACATAAAATTCAGAACGACCTTGATATCTCTACTTCTGGTAATCGAAGTGTAGCCAACTTCTTCAATTCAAATGAAAAGTAAAACTTCTTCGAAGATTCATGATTCAGTATCAAATTACCTTCCCAATAATACAGGGTGTCTGGAATGGTGTGTCGTGAATGATAGGGCTGATAGAGTGTGGCAAAATAATGTTAAATTCTCTATATTAAACATCGATCTAAATACAGCATTTAAAAAAATGTCTATCGCGCTTCGTTACGGGGCTATTGACCTCGAAAGAATCAAAAAAACATTTTTCAGGAGGCAGTATATTTGGTTTTTCTGGAAATGGGTGCGTCCTATTAAAATTCTACAATAATCAGAGATGCAGTGAGTTAAATTAGAAAAATAAAAATATGTTTTGATGTTGAATATAAATGTTTTCAGAAAACATCGTCTGACTGATTTATAATTAATGCTATATCAGTTATAAGTTCATTAACATCAAGAATGCATGTAATTTCCATTTACCTATTAACACCAGCCAGAATTTCTGGAAAAATTTCTCCCAGGCATGTTGGTGAACTCAACTGATGATACATTTCCTGTTGATCTCATACGTTTATTTCCTTAGCGAAATCCTTGATTATTTACACGTTAGATGTGTTTTTATGAGATCTTTTCTGACAGTTCTTTCAAAGAAAAGTCCAGGAAAAGGGCGTAACAACAACAAAAAATCAGAGACCGCTTACATTATTCGGGACAGAAATGACATAGTTGAACTTGCATAGTTTTCATAACTAAAATTTGATTTTGAAAATATTAAATTCAAGATCAATTATAAATGAAAAATACTCTATGGTACATATTTTTCTGTCAACTTCTATCACCGAGGAGTGTCAATAGACGAAAACAAAGAGACAATTGGTGGAAATCAATTTTCCAATTTCATTTTGGGAGCAGATTTGTTCACGAAACGTCCAAAGTGAAAATTTAATATTTTTTAATACACCTATTTTATTCTTATTCAAACATTTTCCAAACAGGTTTCAATGACTAACGATTAAAGTTCTCTTCTAGGTTTTCTAATAATGTTATTTTAAACGCAGTGACATTTTAGGTCAAATCATCTGATTTGTACTTCGTACAAATATGAAATCATAATAATATTTTTATTTATTGAAACGAGAAGTAAACATCTCTTAAGTTTAGAGCAACAAACAAGAACTTATTTCGGCAACATTGCAAAGTCATTGATATAATTTCGATGCTTGTGGTCTCACCGAAAACAAACGCTTTGGTTCGGCTGTAGATCTATTTTGTGATCGATTCAATTCCAGGCAAACTTCAAGATTCAATATCCTCGTAAATAATTTTTTTTATGTTTTTATCATTTCAAAATGAAAAGAGGAATCAGGTAACCATGTTTGTCGGTCTTATTTTGACTCACTCTGTATATGAAGAGTTATTGGGAACCAATTTCATAGAAATACATTTCATCAGTAATGTTTTCTGCTACATTCTACTATTTTGTATTATCTTTTGCAGGTAATATCAGTGCAGTATTCATTTACAAATGGAAGGGAGAAGAGTTAGCAAATAAACTTGAAAATAACTCAAAAATCTACGTACACATCACCATAGCTGGTCATACTTCGTCAAGGGCAGCTAATATCAATAGGTGAGTTTGATGCCTTGTTCATTCCACCATTATTAATGCTCACGCAAAAAATATTCTCGTCAAAATGTCATTATCTATTTCTTACATTTTCTCTTTTTGATTATCATAATCACCTCATTTTAATGAGAGATATAAATGTTTTGGAAAAATTATTTTTTCTATGGAGAAAACCTGTAAAAACAAGTTAGGTGGGCGGTAATGGGGTGGTGTAAAGTTAAAGACGTTAAACGGTCACAGTGAATAAGAACGATTATTCATATATCAACTGCAGTAAAGTAGACAATCGGGTCGATTCTGTTTGCAAATAGCAATATGGTTGTAGAGAAGATATTGCTATCATAGCAAGATTTGAAAAAGTGGAATTCTAATCATCGATTTTTGGCAATATGATCTGTCAATTTCAATGACATCTGGTCAGCTCTCTTGCTATCTCGGCAACATCAATTTTTTGCTTGCTATTGTATAACAAGATAGTGGATTCTTTGTTTTTGCACTACAAATTCTTCCAACTGTATGAAAATTCAGAAAATAGTGATGAGAGTTCAGTTGTGTCACTGACTACTCCAAAACCTTTCCTCAAAGTTTCAATTCGTAGAAGAATTATTGAAAAACTTAGAATGGTGATTACAAACATATAGGATAGGTTCACTACTGTGTCCAACTACTTGAAAACCTTTTCTTGAAGTTCCAATTTGTAGAGGAAATATGAAACTACAATTTCATCATATCAGAGAAATTTCAGTTGCCTGATGGATAGTTCATCAAGCTATTTTGCTAGAATATTTAAAAAAAAATCACGATTTGTTTCATCTGGCTTTTAGTTGTTTTCTCATTTCGGGAATTTTTTTTGCAATTGCATTACCTCGTTGGTCCCAGCACTGGGACCAACGCCCCATAAGTCGAAACTTGTGCGGGGTTAGGTAAGCAGACAAACACAAACATCCATGGCCTAACTAGGATTCGAACCTATGTCTCGGTGGGAGTCCCCATATGAACTCAGCGCCTTCACGCTCTCGACCACCGAGCCACATGATTGATTACTTGCACCAGTAGCACAACGACAACCAGATTCAGCAAATACAAAATCTCTTGATTTGAACAATATAATTTTGTAAAATGTCAGTGCAGGACTGACTAATTTGAGAGGTTTGATAATCATGAACTCTTCTTCTTCATGAAATAATGGCAAACTCGATACCTAACACTTAAACAATGAGTTGAAAACAGTGTTTGTCAGCTCAAAAATTCTCAATTTTTCAACAATATTGCTATCACTTGAACTTATAACCAGTCTTGCAGTTACTCTGCAAACAGAATACAGAACTTTATAGCAATATTGTTATATGTTATGATCATAACAATATTATTATCTTAGCAATGTTATAACAAGATCTGAACAGAATGGACCTGATTGCCAAAATAGACGAGTGGACAAATTTTTTTTATTTCTTGAATAGATCATCACTCAAATACCTTTCAATTTCATATTTTTAGAAATTTTTGGTCGATTTTAAGGTGCTTAAATCACAAATAATGCCATAGTAATTTTCAAACGACTGAAAATTTACCGCGATTAAAAACTGACGTCACGAATTCGTAAATAGGGGCAGACCATCCCAGTTGCCATATGATGAAATACGATTGGGAACTTCAGGAATATTAGTTACTCGATAATCCATAAATTCTCAATTATGTATTGGTAATATTCCTAATTAGCATTAAAAAATCAATTGTCTCAAAATGTTCCCTCAGGGGTCGTGGCTCATTGCTTATAATATTTGTGTAAATAATAATTATATGAATTCACACTTGAGAACATTTGAACCGGTAAAAGCTCGGGTAAACGTGACAACACGACGCACGAGTTGTGGGCGTGGTCTTGTCAGTCAAAATTAACTACTCCTCCTATAATGTTTCATTCAACGACCGGACTCTAACATTATGCGATCTGCTTTCCTAAAAGTTTATAATAATTCATCAATCCGTAACATTTTTGCGAGGCTGTTTTTTTAAAATCATTCCTTGTTATTCAGGGTATGGGGCAATGAGCTATCATATTCCTCCATGGTTTCGATGATAATCAAGATTGGTAAATTTGTTCAGCTCAAAGTATACGGTGTAGGAATAATGGAATAAAATCCGTATCTCCATAAGATAGATAAAAAAATTGAAAGAAATACCTCTCAAAGAAGGTATAAAACTTGACCCCTTGTACAATGTAAAAATTTTGAAGGGGTTGATATCTGAAGAAATAAATTTTCGACAAAAAAATCAACCTCTTCCAAGATTTTTCAAAATGAATTTTCATCATAGAGATACGCATTTTATTCCATCATAGATTTCCACACTGTATAGTTTGTAGCTATTTCAAGTAGGTATGTAAGGTAGCTACTTATATCAATATCAATACTAATTGTGATATAAATTATACTAATGATTTGGGAAGTCCCACAACTAAAGTATTAATTGGTACCTATACAATAATAGGTATATAGTATTCCCCTACGCCATTTGAGCCATATTATTATTATTATTTTGAACGAGTAGTTTTTTCTCATCAAGACAATATGTCAATGGAATTTCTCAAATTATCATTTTTGCTTCGTTATTTTTGATCACATTGACATTCTTCTGTTATTAAATACGTTCTGTAGGTTGATTGATTGATTGTTTGATTAATAGCAGAATGATCAGTCAGGGTTCGAAGTCCAAAACACTGCAGCCTTTGGGCCTATTGTATTCCTGATCATGCTGTTGACTTAGGTGAACAGGTTCGCTACCTTGATAAGGTTTAGCAGCCTCTTCACCAAATCATTCTTTGGAAAGGCCTCTTGAGAGTTTACTGCTCCCAGAAGGTTGTATCTCCAACGCGCTAGTGCTTCGCACTCCAATATTACATGGGTGGCAGTTTCCTCCTCCTCATTGCATAGTCTGCATATGGGTTCGTCTGTATAGATGCCCATTTGATGCATATGTTTCCTCAAGGGGCAGTGACCGGTTATTAGTCCCGTCACTTATCTGATCTGACTTCTGTTTAGGCTCAGAATGTCGTTAGTCACTGTTCTGGACAGCGTTCCAACCATCAGTTTACTGTGTCTTTGTCCTGGGACATTGTTCCAGTATGCCTGATGTCTTTCTTGCATCCACCTTGCCAGCCAGCCGCGTATTGAGGTTTTGGGAATACCGAACACAGGTTCCGGTCCCATAAACAACGCCGCAGACCCTTGCCTGGCAAGAGCGTCAGCTGCTTCATTGCCTTCAATTCCCTTGTGCCCTGGCACCCATTGAAGAGTTACCTTGTTGTGGTTAGCCAGGGTTAGCAGGCTTTGGAGGCAATCCCAGACCAGTTTTGATCTGATTTTATTGCATGTTAAAGATTGAATGGCTGCCTGACTATCTGAGCATATGAGGATTTGTTTACCTCTGTATCCTCTTACAATATTCTCTCTCAGGCATGCCTCAATAGCATGCACCTCTGCCTGGAATACTGAAGCATACCTCCCCAAGGAAGCACACATCCTGGTTCTAGGTCTATCTCCATATATTCCGGCTCCCGTGCCCTCATCAGTCTTAGAACCGTCAGTGTACCACACTAACGTGCCTTCATAGAGTAGGCCCTGGTCAAGACCATTTCATCCCAGTAGAGCTGAGTGTTGAAGGGTCTGTAATAGTTATTTCTGTAGGTTAATAGAGGAGGTGTTGCATTCATTTTACTAGATTATTTGGAATTTTCTCTCCACGTTTTTACGAAATAAAAATATGAGTATTAGTTCAATAATATATGATTGTGTTGTAGGACAAATCAGATGATTTGCCCCAAAATGTCACTGCGTTTAACAAATTTTTCTATCAGGGAGCCTAAAACAAAAAATCCAATAGCTTGTCAGTGACAGTTTGTTTAGAAAGAAGTTTGAAGAGAAGAAATATACAGTGTGGTCATTTAAGTGTGCAACATATGGGAATCTTTTTAATGAATTGCACAACCAAAATACAGAGAATGCCAAAAGTTGGTGCATGTTCGGTTATAATTTTAGGTGCACTTACAATAGTTGCAAGTCACACAGCATACAGGGTAGGTCAAAAAATATTAAAATTGTTCAGGAGTAAAGTACTCTTATTTCAGAAAATTCATTGAAATGTTATCGAGAAAAGTTATGCCTGAATACCAAAACATGGCCGCCTAAGACATTTTTCAGTTTTTCAATTTTGTTCGTTAATAATTTCCCAATTTGTAATATTTCAAATACAAAATGTGCACATTGAATTGAAGTTTTTGAATATGCATATTATCATTAATCATGTTTTACCTTGTTAAAAATATGGTTTGCGAAATTTTAAAGTTAAGCTGAATATCGTTGCAACAAACATACAGTTTGTGATTCCCTAAAAAAATTAAAATCTAAGTTAATTGCACAAATATGCTTGAATTTGAACAAAGGTATGCTCAACTGATTTTGTTATGATTAACTCTTGAAAGTATTCAGAGTGAATATAAAAAAATTACAGATTGGGAAATTATTCACGAACAAAATTGAAAAACTAAAAAATGTCTGGGGAGGCCATGTTTTGGTATTTAGGCATAACTTTCAATTGTGAACAACTTTTCTCAATAACATTTTGCTGAATTTTCTGAAATAAGGGTACTTTACTCCTGAGCAATTCTTATATTTTTTGACCTACCCTGTATGCTGTGTGACTTGCAACCATTCTAAGTGCACCTAAAATGATTACCGAACATGCACCAACTTTCGGCACTATCTGAATTTAGGTTGTGCAATTCATTAAAAAGATTCCCATATGTTGCACACTTAAATGACCACACTGTAGATAGATATATTGAAAAAATATCGAATTTTTACTTATCTTTGGACGTTTCGGGAACGAATCTGCTCTTATATATTTTTCCCAAACGAAGTGTCACTAACAAGCAATTTGATTTTTCTTTTAGCCTCCGTGATAGCAAAATTTTTTGAACGCGGTGACAATTTGGGGCAAATTAT